TTACACGTTTTCATCGCTACAGGGGAAATGGCGCAGGGGTGGGGGGACGGGGAGGGGCTCTGTGGGGACTACTTCCTGCTCAACTTTTCTTTCTGTAAACCCAAAACTGCTCTAAGCAAGTCTATTGATTTCTTAAGTAAAAATAAATTTACGAGGCTGAGCAAAGGCACCTCATGCTGTGATTTTTAGAGAACTGGCTCCTTCCGCTCCTTGCATGAAACACGCTTTCACTCACATTTCTCTTCCATGGCTCTCAGGTCCATCTGTTCACACAGTGGAAATCCTGCTGTTTTGCTCCTGGGGCTGCTACCAAGCTGGTTGGTAGCGAAGCTGAAGCAGAAACCGTGCTTCCCGCCAAGCCCTCTGTCCCTCAGGCCAAAGTGCCCAAATGGGGCCCCCAGCAATGAAGCCAGCACCCCACACCGCACACGCGCACACCCCACCACGTTCTTCCATGCATGCAATTACTTTTGGTAAATTGGGCGTTCTTGTTGAAATAGGGATCCTCTCACAGGTTGAGAAAAGGGTTAACACTTAAATGAAGTTACATGAGCCGAGTACTATGGCAAGCTGTGCCTGTGTGTCCTTATTTCGTCTTCGTGATGACGTTGTCAGGACCTTCATCACTGCCTTCAACAGGTGAGAAGGCTGAGGCACAGAGAGACTGAGCAGCCCGGCCAAGCATGCACGACTGGTTCACACGGTCAGGGACGCCGCGGGACCCCACGCCCCGACCGCTGCTCAGCACCTCCTGGCTGCACTGGACTCAAGCACAGGTGTAGGGTGTGCCCGGCAGCTTTGGCCAGGGCACGGGCTGATAAACCCAGCAAAAAGCAGGACTAAACCTCAAGATTAGAAACTCAGAAAACTGGTTTCTCCCTGAGCTTCCAGTAATGATTTCCTGGAAGACCACACTGGGCATGGCAGCGCCCCTGTCTACACCATGTTCCTTACAAACCAGAAGACAAGGGGCCTGCGGCAGCTCTTGGCTGGTGGCGTGCCTGCGGCGGAGCGAGCTGACCTGTAGCAGCCTCTTTCTTCAACCTGCCAAATGGCCACAGTACTAAGCGCCACGCAGAATCCTAAACAGGACACAGCCCCATTTCCATGGTTGGTGCTCCCAGCATGGAAATGCTTTCTGCACACTCCGTGCCATGCCAGCATCTCAGTGGAGTTTGCTGTCCAGAAGAGAGAATAGCACAGGCCTGAGCAGATGCACAGGGGCTCCTACCCAGTCAGTGTTGGACGCCCAGGGCCCTTCTCTTAGCGGCCACTGGGGGTACAAAGAACAGCAGCCCTGGTTCTGAGCAAGCGGGCCTGAGCCCGGGCTGTCAGCTGCCGTCGTGGCCTCTCTGAGCCTCGGTTTACTCCTTTGTCAAGTTATTTAGAGCTTCATAGGACTTAACTTAGCATGTGTGTCAGAGACTGAAGCAATGGACGCTCACGGCAGAGGGCCGTGCTGCGGCAGAGGGCACCCTGCACGGTCATGCTGGCTGCCTGTGTCCGGCGTTCGTCGTTACTGATGTTAAGAGGAAAGGCGGAGCCTCTTCTCACGAGCCATCAAGTCGTCTGGCACTGACAGGACACCAGGGTCACGTGACAGAGACAGGCACAGATGAGGCTTCAGGGGAAAAGCCTGGCTCCTTGGACGGCCAAGGAAGGGGGCTTGTGCCACTGCCTGTTACCCACTCCCCACTTAACACACAAGCCCCATCTAAGCACTTTCCTGGCTGATAGTTCTCTATGGAGAGGAGCCATTAAGCAATTATGTCATGATTTTCGATTGTACTCCCATGGGAAAATACGACTCTTTCCACTCACTTCCCTGGAACCGTATTGTGACGTATTGTAAAGCGGTTGAAACATTCATAGCGTTAAGCAATTTCAAAAGAAAAAAAAAAGTCAGCAACATGAAACTTGTTGATATTATTCCAATTCCCTCCTGATTTCAGACAATTCAAATAGTTGTCATCAGGATAGGCACATTACTTGGTACCCTTTTCCCACGTACGGCTCCCACATGCCTAATTACAATATGCATAATTACATTACATGCCTAATTACAACATGCGGGATGACATTAACACAGTGCTCACATTTATCCTTATGAAAACTGCCGATCCCAGATGTCTCAGTGTTGTTGGGGGACCTCCCACCTCCCATTTGGTTTGTCGGCTGGTGACTGTTGTGGATGGCGGCACTGTCATGAGGAAAACGGCCGTGCCACGCCATCAGGGTGTACGCTGCTTTGTTTCCCTATTAAATTTGTCTCTCAAACGTATTACCTCCCCAATGAAATGATGAGGGGTGCATTTTTCAGTTTTTTTGCATGTTGCCAAATTTCTTTCCACAAAATGTAGAATGATATAAAATGTCACCCACCATCGGGCATGAATACCCCATCTCTGCTAGCTTTTATCATTCACTCATACTTTCAATTTAAACTAATTAAATTTAAAAAATTAATTACATTTAAAATCGTTCGCATTTTATCATTTTCTTTCCTGTTTGCTAGTCTGAAAAGTATACGTAATAACCACCCAGTAATTTTAACTTTAACTTCCCTCCCTTTTCCATTTTGGTGTTATTCCAGAAGAAATTTTTCTTCCATGGAAAGACTCCTCCTCTGCGTCTTCCCCCGTTTTCTCCTCAATTCTTTCCCCCCTTTCCCATATTGTCTTGAAGTCACATTAATAGTTCACAAAAGGTCACAACCATCTGCCTTTTCTATAGACTTGAGTCTATTAAATTACGTTCTAGCTGGCTGCTTCTTTTCATCACCGCTGCAACATCTGTGGCTGTGTCTGATTTACCGCCTGTTATGACACGACGCTGGGAACCCAGTCACTATGGTTCGGCACACTCTTCAGGGAGCCTCCGTTATTCACAGATCGGTGCAGTGGGAACTCCTGGCTCCTCGAGTCACTGTAGACTTTCCACTGTCCCCTGGGCACCGGTGCTGGCCTGTCACCAGCGTGGCCGAGAAGCCTGCATTTGCCCGCTCCCCACCCCAAGTCAAAGCCTGAGAGCACATTGTCCCTGTTGTCACAGCCTATGACCCAACAAACCAAACGAATCCGTATGTCCCAGCCTCCTGCTCGGCTGTGTAGGACTCATCTCACTTCATGTTCTCAGCAACCCTGCCAGGCGAGTTATTACTGCGGCTCCCAAGGTTCAGAGGGGCTGGTGCCGGACCACACAGCCGGTCATAGAGGGGTGAGTGTGGGCATTTGGGATTGTGCTGCCGCCCCCTCCCCACGCCACACACACACCTGGGGCCCAGCGTCCATGCACACCGCGCTGTCTGCTGCCTCTGCACTCACGTGGCCGGCGCGCTCCGGCCTGGGCTGGGGGGACCACCGCCCGCCGCCGGTGTGCTCTGGGTCCTGCACCTTACCACAGGCAGAGGAGGCGCCCTGGGGGAGCACTGAGCCCCAGCGGGGCTGATCCCCATGGAAACAGAAACAGGCTGAGGCTGACCAAGTCCTGCTGCCCCCTACCCCCTTCCAAAGGGACACATGCTGAGTAGCTACAGCCCTGAGTGGCACACAGGGCACCAACATTGGCGCTTTACCGCTCGGCTCTTCGTCTTCACAACAGCTCTGCGAAGAGCAACGCGACCCCATTCTAGAAATGAGGCGACAGGCCCAGGGAGGCAGGTGTCTTTGTAAGCCCACACAGCTCACAGTGGTTCCACAAAAGGCTCTGTCAAGTCTCAGACCAGAAGGCTTCCCGCTGGCCGGGGCCCCAGAGTCCACCGCTTACAGGAAACCCCGGCCTCCACGGAGAACACAGTGGGGTGTGAGCCTGTCCTCGGAGGCCGTGTCCAATCCACGGTCCCCACGTGCCCTGAGCACCCTCCCCCAGGGATGCCCACGAGCACCCCAGAAACCTCAGCGCCACCCTTCTAAAGTGCCGCTGGGATCTCATTTTCTTACAGCCTTCCCCACACCCCACACCAGACTCCCATGGACTGTCCAAGAGGCGAGGGTGCAACCTGCAGAAAGTCGTCTTGAAGACAGGAAAGCATATGTAAATGCCCTGCCGGCTATTTCTTTGAATCTGTGGAGGTGTGAAGGGGATTTGTCTTATTTTTGTTATTTTAATCAACCTGGCTCTGTGCTGAGAGAGGGGAAGGAAACAGGCTGCCATGAGGGGCACAATTTTGTCTCTTTCAGAAACATGCAGACACTCCCTATCTTGCTCAGGTCCTAACTGTCCCAGGACGTCGGGGACCTCACGGGCCACCCCCAAGCAGAAAGAGGGCGGCTTCTATGCTGCAATTCTCACCTTTGCTTTCAGCTCCATTAGGAGGAAAACGCTGATGTGAAAGAGCAGTCAGCTGCAAGGAGCGTTTAAGAGAGAGACAGGATTAAGGAAACAGGCAGGCCAGCTGCTCGCATGTCCCCTGGAGACGGGAGAACGCAAGACATCCCGCACAAGGACCACGCAGCAGCGTCTGCAAGCCCCTCCTGCTCCACGACCTGCCGTTTACTTGCTTATTAGCAGTGTGCTCCATCGTGCCCACCTGCCGGGCCGGCCCTGTACACTGAGGCTGCCCTGGCCGGCTTCCCTCCACAGCTGAGGGCAGCAGGGCGGGTCTGCCTGGTGCAGTCTTCTCCTTCCACCCATCTCCTGGCCCTGTGGGCTCCAGACACACCGTGAGCCATCTGGAAAATAATTCCCACTCTTACTTCGTAAGTCTTATCAAGGCTCAGAGAACCGGGACGAAAAACCATCACAAGTTTCTGACTCTTCCTGACTTGTTCCTCCGAGATGACACACAAAAAGCAGGCGACTCAGCTAGTCCCCTGTTTCCTCACCAAGTTCCCAGAGCATCCCCACCTGCGCTCAGCTGGATGCCAAGTCCCTGCGTGGAAACCAACCCAGCCCGAAGCAACAGGCGAACCTCCCTGCAGTCCCCAAGCCCAGGGTCACAGCCTCCAGGAGCTGGCTCTCCAGGCGGGTCCCCAGGCTATGAGGACAAAGAGCGTACTCACCAGCAGCCAGGAGTTGCTTGTTCTCTGTCCTCCCTCTCTCTCCTCTCCTCGGTGACAGTTAAAAGGCACAGAGGATGCAACTGCCATTTATGTAGACGGTGTCCGCCTCCCCAAAGCCAATCAGAGCCAGGGGCTTGCTCTGCTTGTTTGCCTGCAGCATCGCCCCCTGCAGTCGTCTCGTGCTCTAGCCACCCCCGCCCAGGACCTGAGGGCTGGAAAGGGCAGAGCAGGACCTAGGGGACAGCAGAGCCTGCTGGGGCTGTGGGTCAAGAGGCCAAGGGAAAGGTATCCTGTGTTCCCAGACCCCTGTGTGGGACCCAGAACTCAGCCAGTTCTCTTGAGCAACCTCTGAGCAACCCAGGCTTCCTGGCTGTGTTCCAGGGCGGTGAAGAGCAAGCGAGTCTGGACCTGCGACGCATGGAGCTCTGGCTCTGCGATAGCACTGGGCCCCGGGCTGGCAGCTCCCCACCTCCTCTCCTGGCACTGCTGGGACCCCCATGCCAGGAGGGACAGAGGCTCCGTGTGCCAAGTTCCTTAAGCTCCTCACTCTAAGTCAGAGAGAGAAGCAGAGGCCGGTGAGGATTTGAACCCAGGTTCATCTGATTCAGCACCCTGTTCTTTTACCCCCGAAGCTACCAGCTCTCAAGGCACAAACTTCTTCCAGCTGCGATGTGGGCTCCCACCCTCCTCCCCCACCTGGGTGGGCTGATCAGCTCAGGCGGACGTGGCTCCTGTCTCTGCTAAGGGGAGCACAGAGCCTGTGGGCCTGGAAAGGGGACCTAGGTGAGCCCACTCAGACCAGGACAGGCAGGTGGGCTCCTCTGCTCCTTCTACACATGTACATGTACATACCACACACACACACGTGTGTGTGTGTGCATGCACATGCACATGCTCACCACAGTGCACACATCACACACGTATGCACACACATGTAGTCCCCCCACACGTGCGTGCATGCACGTGCACATGCTCACCACAGTGCACACATCACACACGTATGCACACACATGTAGTCCCACACACACGTGTGTGCATGCATGTGCACATGCTCACCCACAGTGCACACATCACACACACATGTATGCACATACACATAGTCCACACACACACAGACACACACACACACACACACTCAGGGCCTGTGTCGGGAGCTAGGATCTCTTCCTAGAAGGCCACGCACCTGGGTTTAATTAAGCAGCGTCTCCTCACAGAACGTGTGTCTCATGTGGTGGAGGGCCAGGGAAGATGGCCTCCAGGACAGGGCTGCTTCTTCGCAGGTGGGCTGGCTGTCCAGGGACCAGACTCATGCATTGCCTCGCCAGGAGGGAGCTGGGCGTGGACATCAGAGCAACAAGGCAATTAGGCCCCACGAGTGTGTGCGTGTGGGGGGAACAGGGGGCCATGTGTGCAGGGCTCCAGGAGAGGGCCTGGGGCCATTGCACCGCTGTGGGGAAGCCCCTCCCAGCACACAGCTCAGCCCAGCGCCTGCCCTTGGTAAGCCCTGGCTGATACATGGAGGCCACATGGGCGGGGGGTGCAGGTGTGGTGCCGGGCTGACACCCAGCACTGACCTCTGGACAAGGGGCTGTGAGAAAAGCATGAACCCTCCCATCTCACAAAGAGTCACTGTAATAACATCTGGAATTTATGAAGGTTCGATTATTGGTAGCTTCACATCATTCAATCCCTCACAAGTACGTTACAAGGAAGATATTCTCATCATCACCATTTTACAGATGAGGAGATCGAGGCACAGAGAGGTTAGGACATTTGCCCAAGGTCACACAGCTAACATGTGACTGAGCGGGCGTCACCCACACTCCTCACCAGCAGGCCAGCCTGCCCTCCTGCTGGGTGTGTCCAGGTCTGCTTGTGGGGTCTCACTGCAGGGTGGCAGGCAGATCACGAAAGAATACACAGGGAGAGAAGCCCACTGTGCCCGGCGCTGCTGCCGGTGTGGAGGGCACAGCTCCGAGCGGGGGCTGCAGGCAGCGGGGCCTGGCCTGGGCTCACAGGGAAAGGCCAGCCACGGGGGTCCAGAGGCAGAGCGCCAGCATGGGTGTGCGCGCGTCACTCCAGCTTCGCTCAGAAGGGCAGCCGGGGGTTGGAGTGCGCAAGAGCAGGAGAAAGCAGACAGTTCGGATTCACATGCAGCAGGAAGGAAACAGGCGTCGGGCTCCAAAGTCCGGGCGTGAAGCTGCCTCCGCACCCGTGAAGGCGCCTATGGCCAGCTGCTGTGCCGCCCTCCGTGCTGATGACAAGAGAGGACTCCCGTGAGGGACAGGCCAGCAGGGCTGATGTTAGCAAAATCTCATCGAAGATGTGCAAGGCCTGTGAAGAAACTAAAGGCTCATGGGAAGACGCCGAAGACCTACATACACAGAAATAATGCCCGTT